GCTCTCTGCACCCCTGCTCCCCTCCAGCCTTGCTGCTGTTGATGCTGAATAGTTGTCATCCCGTGACAGTGAAAACCAGCACCTGTAGGGTCAAACAATGGCTGTAGGTTCCCTTCCAGAACGGACTGTCTTCACAGTTGAGCCCTTGGAGTAGAAGGATCCACCTGTCCCAGGACATATTTGAGGCAAGGGTCACCAGGTCCTCTGGAAACGAGGATATGTCCAAGCTGGTCTGTAGAGAGGGAATATTGCCCCATTACCCCAGACTTCTGGGATGGAGACAGATGCTGAGTGACAGGGGAAGATTTAAGGGAGGAGGTGGATGTGAAGATGTGGGCAAGAACCCACACGGGTTTGGACTCCATGTTCCTCTGGTGAGCCTTGCAAAGGTCCCTCCAAGCATAAGGAGAGAACTCAGCCACCTCCAACAAGGCTTTGCTCCAGTGCTACAGGTGGTGGGTTTGGTCTTCGGGGCAGTGGAGTGTGTAGATCTGAGACTCCTGCCTGGACCTCTGAGGCCCTACATGCAGGGATCTGGCCTGTCAGCATCCTCCTTGAGCAGCTCATCCCACCAAAGGGAGGAAGAGAGAAAAGGAGAAACCCTGGAGCAGACTCAAAGCAAAACTAGAGAAAGCAAAATGAGGGCAACGGGAGGAAATGCAGATGTTCTACAAGCCTACAGCAGCCTCAGAGATAGGCAGGGTGAAGGCCTATGTGGTACAGGATGGAGGAGATACTGTGGGACTGGATCCCTCAAGACACACCAGGGCTGTGCAAGCTGGCTGTGGTTAGGGGTTCAAGCAACCTGCCCAGCAGCCTGTCCCTCACACCGCCAACCACAGCACCCATCAGCCCACCCCAGCCTGCCTCTTCCAGGACTGATAGCCACTTTCCCAGCCAGTCAAGGCCATGGCAATGCTCCCAGATCACGGTGCCCAACAGAACAGTCTCACCCACAGATCACTCTAATAACCCAGCAGCCAAATAACCCCCACACCCTGCTACAGCACCTCCAGCTCAACTTCTCCTGAACCAAAACACAGCTCTGAGATCTCCCAGTGACCAGGACAGTGCTCACTCATAAGTGACCTTACTATTACATGACCTGACTGCCCCTTCTCCCATCGGCATCTGCAATGTCCCATTTCTCAGGATTGATTCTCTAATGTCCCATGACATGGTCCTCCTCGAAAATGCTGCTGCAAGTGGCAGGAGAGGACTTCCTCTCCATCTTCATCTGCCTGACTAGTTTTCTTGAGACCTGGGTTTTTGGGGTCAGGTTTCTTTAAGTGATGCTAACTCACATGTTGCTCCCAATCACCTTCAATCAAGGCTGGGCTATGTAAGGAGCCAGGCTGATTCTTTAGCATCTCTATAGGAGGTTTTGTTTGTTTAGGTATGGCTGAAGTTACACATTCAGATTCCTACAGATGCTGGCAGGGATCAGTCCCAGCTCTCCAACATCTCCCAGAGGGTTCTGGCCATTCCCCATCAGCAAGATTACAGCACAGAAGCAGGGCTGAGCTCTGTGCTCTGGAGGTCCCAGCTGCCACATAGTCCCAGGGAGCTGGCAAAGTATTTTGGCATCAAGGGTGGTGGCAGCCACTCCTCAGGGGAATGCCAGATGTCTGCAGTTGGAAGTGGTTGCTCTAACTGCCAGACCAGGGAGTGCAGGAAATGCAGCAACTTTGGCATCTTCAGCCATTTCCTTGGCTGCACCCAGGTCCTGGCATGGCAGGAACTACAGCACATAGATGGGGGGCTGGATGTCTGCAGCTGTGTGTGTGTATTTGGCACACAGTAGCAGTGCAAATCTGGGGGTGTGCCCACAAATTGGCATGGAGACTTGTGTGCACATGTGTCTGTTCATGAGCACTAGTGTGTGCTTGCGTGTGAGTGTGTGTGTGGTCAGGCTGGGGGTGCTTTCTCTGGGGTGATACAGGGGAAAAAAACATTGGACACTCCCCCAGTTTGGCTGTCAGTGTACTTGTGAGCACAAAGCATGGGGGAAAGGTCTGTCAGGAGAATCCTCTGTCACTCATATAACAGTGCTGGTAGGAGTGAGGTGAGGTGGGCAGACCCTAATCTATATCTTATTCCCTCTGGCCTTTCAGGAGTCATTCCCAGTGGTGACATATCCTTAGAGCACAGGTCCAAGTGCAATTTAATTTTAACAGAACTGCTCAAATATCATATCATAGAATGGCCTAAGCTGGAAGGGACCTTAGAGATCATTTTAATCCAGCCTACCTGTCACCAGTGATGCCACCTCTCGACTAGATCAGGCAGCACATGGGGATCTAATGGGAATCGAACCCGCGACCTTAGCATTGTTAGCGCTACGCTCTACTGACTGAGCTAACTGGCCCCCTAATATTTATAGAGCCTTGTTCTTCTGCCTCCACTGCTCTAAGCCTCAATTTTCTCAAAATGGGTTGCTGAGGATCGGGCTGGGGCCCTGCTCCTACTCTGTCAGTAGCCAGTGGCCCTGAGGCACACGGGTTAACCCTGTTGGCTCCTAGGAGTAGGGTCAAAAATCAGAGCCAGGTGGCAGAATATGCCTAACTGCTCTGCAGCAAATGTCCTCTCTGCACCCCAAACCAAAGACCACTGAAAACCTGCCACCCACGCCCCTCCAAACCCAACAAAGCAGCTGTGGCAGGAAGGATGCACCCCAAAAACCATACCAGGGACATTGCAGGCTCTTCTTGGTGCAGTCAGGTAAAGCCAAAGGACTTGAGGGTGTCAGCTCAGTCCCTTCCTCCCCAGAAAACCTGATGGAGGGATGTGGGGGAGGAAAGATGGAACTGGTGACTTCTTGGGATGGGAGGTAAAACAGCTTCCTCCAGATCTTGCAGTGACTCCAGGAAGCTGAACTACTATCACCACATTTGAGGGTAAGTCAAAACTATGGGTAGTGGCTCTCTTGGCTTGCACAGAGAGAGAAGATCAGCTCCTACACAGGAACATCCTACACAGCAGCCCATCCCCAAGCAGAATGCAGGGACATGGGGCCTGACACCCATCTGAGGACACTGCTTTGTTCAGGGATGCTCAGCTGCAGGCTTCAAACCTGCATCCTACCCAGAGCTCATCCCAGCCCTGGCCAGTGCTATGCTCAGCACAGGGGAGCATAGCTCCAGTCTCTACCAGTGCTGAGCACCCTGTCCTCCAAACAGGGGTGAGACATAGTGCCTGACAGCCTGGAGTATCCCTGCTGCTCACCCTGAGCATCCCCAGGCCCCAGCCTTGCTCCCTGTGAAAGGGCAGGATTGGGATTGCAACCAGGCTGCTTTGGGGCCAGAGGGACACAGGCACTGGTGCGGGCTGGGTGCTCTCCCACCCCATATGGCAACAGAAGATGCTCTTGCTACACCTCTGACCCCAGTGGATGGCTTGGGAGCCTCCAGCCAGCTGCAGACCTCCATCCAGTGAGAACCCCAGCTGCTCCTGGAGGAGCCATGGCTGCAGCCAGCGGGTGCAGGAAAGGCTGAAGACCCAGCACCCCTGCTGCCCGAGAGGCAGGATGGAAAATGTGAAGTAGGACTCACCCTCTTGCCGGTGTCACTGACGGGAAAGCCAAAAGCAAAACTGCTGACTTAGCTCCTGCTTCTCACCCGTTGCAGCTGCCTCCTGCCTTGGCTTTCCGGGCAAGCTGAGCCTGGCCAGCCACAGCAGCTCACCGCCGGAGCAAGGAGTCAGGCTGCTGCTTGCAAAAAGCCCCAGTGGGCTGAGCTGTGCCTTGGTGTGGGTAGATGTTGTGGAAGTTATGGCACTGCCTGTGCTGGCTACTGGGAGCCTTTAGCAGCAACAGGGACCAAGGCAGGCCACCACCTGCCCTAAGAAAGGGTGAAAACCATCCCAGATGGATGTTCATCCCATCTGGTCCCCTTTGGAGGTTTCTCAGGGACTTTTCAGCCCCTGCAAGGGACAAACCCCTTCCTCCAGTTACTGGGCTGGCTCCCACAAGGCTATCACTTCCGAGATGGAAAATGGAAGTTTGGGGCCAGAAAGCTGCACCAAGCACCGTGCTGTCAGCTTTGTCCTGGTTGACACCAGGAATGCTCATCCCCAATGGGCTGAGCAAGCACCCTGAGATGAGCCTGGTAAGAGGGGTGCTTGGTTTGCAGCTGCACCTGCGTGACCAGCTCAGGCAGGAGGGAGAGAGGAAAAGCAGCAAGTTCTTTAAATTATTAAGAGCAGCTTCATGGAAGAATGGCTTGCATATCGCACGGAGAGGCCCAGGAACCACAACAGAGGCTGCCGCCTCCCGGCTCTCGCCTGTACGCTGCCAAGAGCCGTTATTTGCCTGCCCACGCGCCTGCCATCATGAATCAACAAACTCCCCGAACATGAAACTATTTATTCACCCCCCAGAGTCAGATCTGTCTCCCACCTGTGGAGGGAGGGACACGGGGGTAGATTTCCCTTCTTGCAGAGGAGGAAAGTGCCTTGAGACTGTAGGAAAACCACCCGCCTGCTTCTCAAGAGTTTCTTTAAATAGCAGTACATAAAGCAGTCTCTGCCCTGGATGAGGAGAAGCCTTTAACCCCAGGCTCTGGCAAGCAGCATCTCCCAGGATCCATTCCAGCTCCAGCCTCTGGTGTTTCCTCCCATAGTCTGCTTTCCTGTTTGGGTCAGAGCTGGAGGAATGAAGCAGTGTGGCCACTCCAGAGAGCCCCAAGTGGAGGTAGAAAAACAAGCAAATCACCTTTGGGATAGATTGGCATTGCTGCTCTGCTGCAACCCATCCTCCCTGCTTTCAGTGAAGAGATGGCACAATGTGGGGTCCAGCAAGGACCTTCCTCATCCTGTGGTACCCAACCCATGGCCACGACCCCACTGTGGCCAAGATTGTCCAGTATCAACTCCAGCAGCAGCATCTCTGTCTCTCCAGTCCTGGCACACTGGATTTTTCCCAACTGCAAACTGTGGTGGGAGCAAGGGGCCGGGGCAACCTGTCCCTGCCCACATGCTCCAGCGAGAAGTGACTTCAGCCATCAGCAGGACTGCAACTGCAGCTGCCAAGTCCTCTCGTCCTGGTGTTTCTTGCCCCGCTCCGGTGTGACGGGTTTCTCCTCTTGGAAGATGATGGTGGCATATTCAGTCTGGTCAACGAGCCGGGGCTCAAGGGGCAACTGGGCCTGCTGGTCCCGCTGAAACTCCAGCACACCGTAATCCACAGTGGACACAGGCACCATGGGGGGCTTCTCTTTGGTCTACAAGGAAACCCCATCAGAGCAAGTCATCATCCAGACACCCCCACCATGCCCAGCACAAGCCTCTTTTTACAGTAAGTGCCAAAACCAGTGCTGAAGCATCTCAGGAGTGTAAGAGTGATACAAAGCAGAAAGACGCACAGACCTTGCCCAGAGAAAAAAGACCACAAGCTTCGGAGTCACCATCAAACCCATGTGGGTGTCAGCTCTCTGCCTCTGCAGGCAGGGTGGGCTCCCCGCCTGCCCCGCCCTGAAAAGC